GGGTGTTCTAAATGCAATGCGCCTCCCCATGCCGGTTCTAGTGCCCGTGTCTATCTATCTGTGCCAATGTCCATGCCGTTGACTGGACGTAAACCTAAGGAGGAAAGGGAAGATGCCACAAAAGAAATGACGCAGGAAATGTCTAGGGTATATCCGCCCTGACCCAATGCCAATCAATCTCAATGCCGCCAGCTCCATAGCAGACTGCCACCCGATCAGGTCCCGTGTTCCCTGTGTATCATGCAACGCCGGTTCCAAGTCAAAGCCGCAAGTGAACTGGTACTCGCCATATAGCCATCCATAACGCTTCATTGTTGAAAATGTGTCCACGGATCCCATGACAAAGGAAAAGAAATGGCCTGACAAGTCGAGATATGCTTTGTCCATCAATCGAGGTCGAGAAGTTCACTCCACTTCTTCGATCAACGTCATCCTCTCCGTCCGTCGCTCACTTTGTACCATCTTGATTTTAGTCCGGCGAGTGGAAGATGGGTTCGGCTCCTGGCTATTTTCGCGCGAGCCCGCTTCCGACGTCAGCACGGGGTGCCGCAGCATGATAATCCTATCGGGGGAGTTGGACCGCGATCCGTCGGGGTTGCGGCTCGAGACGCGGATTCTGGTGATCGGGACTCGGCCGCCGCTGGATGAAGAAGAGGCGCTGATGTTGCTGCCGCGGCTAGTCGGCCTGTCATCTGTAGCCACAGTGATTGAGTCCTTGTGGGCGGCGGCTGCGGGCCTGTCGGGCCGGGACTCGAACGGGTCGTTTGCAACGGCATCCGGGTTCGGTCGGCTCACGAGCTTGCGCCGCTTCATGTCGAAGTGTCGGATCTTGGGGGTGGGGTAGCGGTACTGGAGGCGGATCTTGTTGGGCGGGCTGGCGGCCTCGGAGTCGTCGTCCTCTACCGACTCTGACGCCTTGCGCTTCCTGAGGTTGGCGTGCAGGCTGGCGGTTGTAGATGTTGAGGCATCGGTCTCGTCACCGCTGTCCACGTCGGTGTCCTCCTGGCTGGTGTGTCGCGCACCGCCAATGCTGCCCTCATACTCGCTGCTGCCTTGGTGGGGGGTGTCCAGAGGCTTGACGGCGAGGTCACCAGGGAGGATGATGCGCTTTTGATGTCTCCGTTTCTGGGCCTCAACTAAACCAGAGTACAAGTTCATTTCGACGTGCTGCTGAGTGGCAGCCTCGTCATCGTCAAGCTCAAAACGGACGGCGTCTGGGTTGGTGGCCAGCGCTGTCTCGGTCTCGAGGTTGGCCCGCGCCAGCTGGCCGAGGAACTCGGGTAGCGTGCTCATCAAGCCTGAGCCGCGAAGCATGGAAGCGTCGACCCGCATCGTCGGCTTGGTGGTGGGCGCAGTGCGGCGATTCGGGAGATCGATGATTCGGTCGATCTCAGCATCCGAGGCAAGAGTGGGTTCGGCGAACTCAGGGAAGACCTCAGAGTTCATAGCTTTCCGCTCAGCGCGGCGGAGTTCTCGAGGGCTGGCGCCCTCGGGCTCGGGAGAGGACGGTGGGGACATGATCTTTGGTACCAGTCGAAGATGGGCTGCAAGGTTGTTAGTGAGGAGGCCAAGTTCGCAGGTGGAAAAACGCGTACGCTCAATGTTCAAGTTGAAGAGGTTGGGAAAGGTTCGCAAAAGGGCAGTTGGCCTCTTCGATGCGTACGGGTACCCTTTGAAGTACCGGTCCGCCCAGAGTCTGGCCTTAGTTGTTAGCGACGAAATGGGCACGCTGCCGTCGCTATTGAAATATTCGAGAGCGATGTCAAGCCCCAGCCGGAGCATGGCCAAATCGCCCCTTTTCGAGCGAGGAGGCTGCACCGACTGAGCCACCTTGACGGCGGAAAAGGGCTTGACAGGCGCCCCCGTCGCGAAGAGCCCTTTGTCCTTCACCACGATCCTGATGTGGGGAGCCATGGCGGAAGGAGACCAAGGGTGGGAGGTGGAGATGGGGGAAAGAGAGAGACAGAAAGATGAATTCCCAGACGAGCGTTGAAGGGTGCTGTGAAGTTTGACAGACGGAGAAAGGAATCTGAAGTGTCGATTGACGGACGGAGGGGATATATGGGAAAGTCGAGCGATGCGCCCGGGAACGCTAGGAAATAGAGAGCCAGTAAAGGTCAAGGCATACCTTTAGTAGTGTCGTTATTGTCCACGTGCGAACAATGACGTTTGGATTTTGAATAACGCTAATCAAGGGGGAGAATTAACGTCGTGGTGCCCAATGCCAGCTGGCAGGTGATCTGGTGGTCTGGGGGCGTGAAGGTTGCAAGGCAAGGCGAGGCGGAGGGCGACGTGGTGGTCTTGCGTGGCCCAGATTGTGGGAGCTGCAGGTTGCGTTTTGAGGGTCGAGGAAAGGTCGAGGCAAGAAAAAAAAAATGACCAAACGGAATAAAAGCTGGTTCGGCCTTTGATCAAAAAAGAATCAAAGAGTTTTCTCTTGCGGTACGGACTCGTGGGGCAGAGAAAATAACTGACCAAGCAGATGATGGGAGATGGCGATTGAATGAGATTGAATGCAGATTGGAGACCGCCGGGGGGGCGCTGAAAAGAGACTGCAAGTGCTGAAATTCTCAAGTACCTAACTGGAACAACAGCTCCCTATCTGCGCAGCAAGCTAGGTCGAGCAACTGGCCAACTTCAGATGAACCTAGAAACCCCGCCCCCACTTTCTGGAAAAGGTCACGGTCAGGTCAGGTGTGTGTTTGAGATGTCTCGCACTTTGGCAATTCGTTCCCTGTATTTCCGGGCAAGAATCTCTGGTCGGCCATCTTTTGCTGCCATCATTGATTCAGTGTAGGGCTCGAAGGTGGTCGGCGTGACCCACTATGTCAGGCACCTTGCATCCCGGCCGGCAAAGCCTCACTCGTCAGCTCGAGCGCCAAGACCCAGTTCCGTATCTCCCCAATTTTGTCTCTTGCCCTCCTGCTTTCTGCCCACACTTGCGCGACCACAGCCCCAGGCTCTGTCAATTTTGGGCAAATCAAATGGGAAAGATGCAAAGACGAAAAAACAAACAGAAAAACAAAAGCCCAACTATGCGAGTCATCGACAAGCCAACAAAGGTTGACACGAAACTCTGATGGAACCCTGGAAGGATCACGGGCAGGGCACAGGCAGCCCGACCCGGCCCGAGGCCGACAATCCACACAATGCATGGGACCTTCGCTCCTCGCCCCGTGCATAACGCCATCGCTGGCAACTCTATGTTCCCTTTCAGCCAGCTTGGAATACCCAAACCGGAACCTTTGGTAGAGGGCCAAACCACGTCACCACGAGCACGAAGAAATAGCCCTAGCGACAAAAGGAAATAGCGTCGCCAAGCCACCCCGCAGTCAAGTGCCATGTCTTCCCCTTTGTGAGCTTGATGGAATCGTGTAATCTGTATGTACGAAGTAACTGTCGAGATGTCATGCCGCCATTGTGCATGGCGGGTGGAAATGCCGAGCGACCCGAGCCTGACGCGGGTACGAGAGCTGCAAGGAGCAGGGCCAAACGAAGAAACAACACACCAACAAGGCGATGGGAGGGTACCTTACACAGTCGAAGCTTGGGTAGGAGAGTTCCCTCATCAGACCCCTCTGCTGGCAGTTAGCCCCACAGCGCCTCACTCAGCTGCCGGCCTCAGTTGAAACACACACAATGCCCCACCATGCCTGTTTCAGCTTGGGGTCCGACAGGGGAACAAGCCCACTGAGAGGTGGGGGATTGCTCCACGTTCCCCGGCCTGGGATTCCCTTCTCAACCACTCAACCGTCATTTACCAGGCCGGTTGTCTCGGTCGTCACCCCAACCGCTCATCGCTTCTAATTGTGTAGCAATTGACGCCCTCGTATTGTTGCCTTTTACTTTGTGTGTGACGGCCGTGATCCCATAGGGCAGCAGACCGAAGAACACACCTGACCAGCAACCGAGGAGGGCGAATTACCGAGTTGGGCCGTTCCCCCACGCGCCCACCACCATACCTTGGCCCTGCCCCTCGTTTCGTTGCCTTCCCTCACCTGACAATCGACGTTCCATCGCAGCGTCACAACCCCTGACTGGCCAAAACGACAACGTACCTAGACGAAGCACCTTCGCTTCGGGTACAGCATATGATTTCGGCAAACACTGGCTAAGCCGATTAGTTTTGAAGATTTTATCTCTCTGGGTTGTTTGCGGCTCTGCGTCGTCGTCCCATCTTTTTGCCCACCCGTTGAAACAAACCGGGCACAAGGCCAGCCATCGTCAACCCGCCGCAGTCACGCAGGCCAACGTTGCTCTCGCCCACACGGCCGCTGACGGACGAACTCTCGTGACGTGTATCTCCCGCGTTCGTTCCACCCGTGCCTCAGCCTCAACGGGTAGCTACATCTCGGTAGATATTCTACCCGACTCTGCCTTTCGATTTACTCCCTTACCTCTATCCCTTCCTCCAGGCGCAGCACAGTAGGGCCGCCACCTCCCCACCAACGACAAGACAAAGAAACCCCCACCTCCCCGCCGCCGCCACCATGTCGATGCGCCCTTCCCTCTTCACGCGCGGCCTCTCGGGGCTATCGCAGTCCTCCGACCCTAACTCACCCATGAGCGGCGTGTCGTCGCCCGCCGAGCAGCGCAACGACGCCAAGCACAACTTCCTCAAGGCAATGCGCCCACTACCCACCCAGCACTACTGGAATGTGTGGTTCGATCGGCAGCAGAGCAAAGACCAGCAGCAGCAACAGCAGGCGGGCGACGGCAACAATGGGGAATATCATGCGGAGCTGGAGCAGCTGGGCGCGCCGATTGAGAGCGTGCAGGACTTTTGGCGGTACAACAACAATACGCCGGTAGACCAGATCAAGATGCGTGAGAGCATCTACCTGTTCAAGGCCGGGTTCAAGCCCATCTGGGAGGACCGCCGGAACGTTCTGGGCGGCAGCTGGACCTTCCGCGTGCCCAAGAGCAACGGGCCGGACGTGTGGAACCGGGTACAGTTGTTGGCTATCGGGGAAAAGCTGCAGAGCGTGTTGGAAGAGGGTATGTGCATGCATTCGACCCTTATGATTTCTGTATATCGATACCGGCCACTAACCTCGGGGGATATGCAGGCGACCAAATCTGTGGCGTCGGCCTCTCGGTCCGCTTCAACTCGCACCTCATCTCCATCTGGCACCGTGACGCGTCCCGCAAGGCATCTATCGACGCTATCGTGCAATGTGTGCTCGAAGAGCTCCCCGCCGAACTTCGTCCGAAGCCGGACAACTACTTTTATAAGAAGCACTCGGACCACGCCGGGTTCAAGGTCCCGCCCGAGCTGCAGGCCGTGATTGACTCGCAGCGCGCGCGGGAGGCCGCCGCGGCTAAGGCGGCAGAGGAACCAACAACTGGCTCCAAGCAAGGGCAAGCGCCCGAGATCGTGGAGGTACCGCCTACGGAAGACCAATGAGTAAGGGGAAGAAGCCATTTCATTACTATAAAAGGCGTGTCTTTCTCCCAACTTCTGCCATCTATCGGATCTGGAAAATATGGTCTGCATATGGCGGCGTTGCGTTGCATGTCGACGGCTGTATCGTCGCGGTGGATATGTCCACTTGGTTGCAGAGAACAGTTATATAAATAACTAGGGACCACCCCGTCCTCTTATGTGTTCTCATCTTGACAGCGAATCTACACGCCTAGTCCTGTCGTAGGGTTTTCTGTGGTTTACTCGTTCATTGAACCTGGTAAATAGGAAGTACTTCCTCGGGTATCCCATCCGCTTAAAGAGTGATCTCTCCACGGTCTTCTTGCACCGCCTTCCCGCCTTTGTCCCGTGGCCAGCCTTATGCCTCTGTATTCGATCCGTAACAGCACTGCCATCCCGACATGCTGCTGGTTGTTTAGTTTTCACTCTCCCCCTGTCGCCGCCGTCAGGTATATACCCGCAATTGATCGCCCACAAACCATACCCCAGCCCTCCCGACCGCGGGCGGGTCCTTGAAATCAGTTTAGTCGCTTCCCTTAATATCCCATTATTCCCCGCATCATCACCCACCATCGTCACCGCCAAACCCCCGGCCCTCCTCATCACCCCATCAAAACTCCTCCTTTTTTCACCCCCCTTCCCCACACCAGCAGCCCCCATTCGCCTTCCAAAATCATATCCCCTCAACACCTCTTCCCGTACACACCAACCCCATCCCCTTTCCGCTTCGCGCAGCGTGCACCACCACCACCACCCTCCATTCCCTGCCCCTTAGCATCCAACCTCAACAACGGCCGCCACCCTCCTCAAATCCCCCAAGGTAATCACCTCCGCCTCCCCGCCCTCCCCATCCCCCCCCCTCCCCGTAAACAACCCATACGCCTCATCCAACTCGGCCCTATGCCCCTCCCCCCCTTCCTCCTCCTCCTCAAACCTCCTCACCTGCATCTGCAGCGCGCAGACGCCCACAAACGCCTCGTACGTCGCGAACCCTTCCTCGTCCGGGTCCAGCGCCGCGGTCAGGTCGGCGAGCTGGGCGGGCGACGACGGCGGGATGCCGAGGGCGATCAGCGCGCGCCGCACGTCGCTGATGGGCATCACGCCCTGCGGTTCGCCGTCCAAGGGCTCCGCGAAGAGGCTGAAGGCTTCGTGGATCTCGGATTCTTCGAGCGCGGTGAGGTTGTGTTCTTTGGCGAGTTTGGAGGGGCGGGGGGTGTTGCTTTTGGGGGTGGGTTTCGGGGTGCTGGTGGTGGGTGGTGCGCGGCGTCGGGGTGGCTGTTGGAATGGAAGGGGATGGGGGTGTTAGCTGGTACGGTGGTTGTTGGGGGGGTGGTTAAGAGTTGTGGGGGCTTACCATTGTGGGTGGTTTGGTTGGTTTATACAAGTTAAGACTGATTCCAATGTCGTGCGATGGGATGCGACGGCGCGCAGGTGGGATCGCGGCAGCCCGCTGGTCGAGTGGATGGAGGTGGAGTTGATCTCCCAAGGTGGGGCGGGCATCGCCAAGTGGGCGCCTGGCCACGTGAGGGCCGAGTTTAAATATCGGTCCCGCTGCGCTGAAATTTTCCTCTTTCCAACACAAACTTCGACGGAACCAAAAGGGCGCGAACCACGCCGAAAGCTGTCTGTATCAAGCTGCTCTTTCTCCCTCTGCTGAAAAAATGCTGGCAGGTGATTTTTACAGAGAAACGCATGCAAGGTAGGTCGGTAGGCAGACATCGGTTGCATCGTGTTCCATGTTCGAAGTTTGTGTGTGCCTTCCCCCGGTACTGGACATTTCAGTCAACCGCTTCAAAATTTGCTAGAGCTTGCCGCCTCCATTCAAACCCAGGGCGAGCAAGTGTGGACAGTGAAGCAATATCAAAAACCCCGTGCCTCTCTGAGACGCGTCCGCGAGTTCACTGCGCCTGGATCCTGTCGGATTCCGGTGGTATGGGCTCGTGGAGACATTTCAATGTGCAAATGTGCGATTTATTGGCGGCATGGCCACTTTGAATGTGTCAAGTGTATCGATTGATAACTAGGAGTGAAGTTTGTCCTTCCTCCAGGACATGTTTCGCATCCGTTTTTACAGGTTGGACTTATCTACAACCACCTCCCTGATTACACCCCCGTCTCTTGATCAACTCGTGTCCTTGAATCAGGCATTTTTTAACTAAGCCCAGAACAGCCGACTCACTTGAAGTTGTTCTTCATCTCGCGCAGCTTGGTCATGATGGCAATAGGATCCGTCTCACCCGTCGCCTTCTGAATCTCAGGGTCCTGTCTTCGGGTCAGCCGCCAGAGCCACCAATGTCCACCCGGGTTCCTTACCTGAGGCCGCATAAACACATTGTGCTTCTTCTCGTCACCAATCGTAAACTTGCCCTGCGTTTCCTTATTATCCTGGGCGAACGACTGGAGGGCCTTGACCGGGCCGCTGGGGAGGACCGAAACGCCGAATTTGGCATTGGCCCCGGTGTACTCGTGTCCGGGCTTAAAAACGATTAGTACTGTGGCCGGGAGGTTGGGTGACTTGACTCACAAAGACCCGGGTGTCGTCAGGGAGCGACCCCAGCGTCACGTTCAGCGCCTTGTGCATCTCTTCGCCATTACCTTCGAAGAATCTGCCGCAGCCTGCCGACAGTCAGAAAAAGCTGATCACAAGGGCCGGGAGCAAAACAAAAACTCGCCTCCGTGGAACAGAGTATCCCCCGTAAACACAACCTTGTCGTTGCCGTCCTGCATAAAAAAGCAGATGCTGTCCTGGGTATGGCAGGGCGTGTGTAGCGCCTTAACGGCGATGTCGCCGATGTTGAAGGTCGCGCCGTGCGGAGGTGTCTTGGTTACCTTCTTGCAGTCCTTGCCGCCGATGATCTCGAGGGGTTGGCCGAGCTCAGAAAGCTGCAACGGTCAGCACACAGGCAGTCCGCTTGATGTTGAGTAGGCAACTCACGAGCTCCTCGTTTCCGCCAGCATGGTCCCAGTGACTGGAGGGTCAGCTTCCCAATCTGTATACCCGGATCCCATGGATACTCACTGGTGGGTATTGATGATAGCTGTGAGCTTGATTGACCCGTCTTGGATAGCCTTCTTCAACACCGGGGCGACCCTAACAACATAAGTTCCTCCTGCCTGACGTATCCCGTACGGAGCCACTCACTCGGCCGGGTGTGCCGGGTCAATGACGACCGCCTCCTTAGACTTGTCATCGACAACAAGATAAGCGTAGTTGTCGCTCTTCCCCACCCCTTCAATGGAATATTAGTTTGGAGTTCACCTTCAGTTATAATCGGCCACCACTGGGGCTTACACATAGGAATCGATTGGATATGCATTGTGCGAACGGTAGCCGGCTGAGTCTCACACTTCAGTTTAGCGTGGGGGTGAAGTGTAGAGTACAAAGTGCAGAAGCTTACACTGGCAGTCAATGAAGTGAATCTGTGTTGGAAAAGACGTCTTGCAGCAGTGAAGGTGGACATGCTCTGTGAAATGCGGAGTATGGGCACAGTGACGCCGGAACAGTTACGCCGGAAGAGCATGGAAACTACCAGTGCTTGTATAAGCGGGGAGTTAAACCTAACAAATCCGGGTCATGACAACCGCTGACGGACACAACAGGGCAGCTCGGCAGGCAAAAAGATGTGACGTTATCATTGGACAATTCACTCCACAGTCACATGACCACCTATTTCATGACCATTTGTGCCCCTGGACAAACTCATGGGCAATGGGTAAACAGTAACTTGAACTACTTGGATGTGTTATTGAGCCGTACATAATTGTTGCAGCACAAGCTATGCCGCCTACACTACCCCAATAGGCTTCGGCACCCAGGCCTCCTCCTGATACAACATCCAAGCCGAGCTGTACCTCAACCGTCGTAGCATCATCCACATCATCCTCGCCCTCCTCCTTATCTTCCTCACTTTCCACCACACCACTTCCCTCCACCTCATCCACCTCGTCCTCAACACCTGACGACCCCCTCCCTCCAGGCACTTCATCCTCCTCCATCCGATCCACACCCACTCCGTTTAACAAAATATCCCTTTGCAACGCCAACGCTCGACGCATCACCGTGCTATCCCTCGTGCTCCCCGATATGGAGTCCAACACACTCAGAACCAACCCTTCACTGAACCTCCCAATCTGTCCCTTGAGGTCATCTTCCCCGCCCTCGAGATACCTCCGCAGCAGTACTTGTAGCTCTGCCTCCCCACCAGCGACTTCCGCCACCATACCAGCCCCCTCCTCTTCTCCCCTTGCTCCGGCCCGGTCTCTTTCTAACCGCCGTAGTGACGGCGCTGCTGCTGCGGCTGCAGGTCTAGTACGCCCTGCCCCAACTCGAGTAGGCTGTCCACCCCCAACCGCAGCCACAGACACCGGCCTAGACAAAGGCAACCGCTCAAACCACCCCTCTTCCCCCCCTTCCCCGTCCTCTTCTTTCAAACCCCGCCAGTAATACTCCCAGATCCACTGCAGGGCGCTGGCGGCGGCGGCGCGCAGGCGGGGTAGCGAGGGCAGCTGCTCGTGGGTGGCCTGGTGGCGAAGCTCAACGAACGTGGCGGGCAGGCCGACGCTCTTGGCGACGTCGTACATGGACATCTTGCGCTGCTTGTCTTGGTGGGAGTCGAGGAGGCCTGTGACGAAGCTGTGGGGAGGGGATGGTTAGTTGGGTTGCTAGGGGGAGGGGGGGTGAGGAAGGTGGTGGAGAGGGGGAGGTTGGGTTAGGGTGATGGATGAAAGGTGGCGGCATGAGGTGGTGATGAAGGGGGCCATGTGGTTGATAGGAAGCAGGCGCGTTTATCCCCCGTAGGCCATAGCATCCCCGTATCTTCTTTTTCCCGATCTCAACCCCTTGCTCATCTTCGTTGGACCGTCCCCAAGTCACTCCTTAAACCACCCTCCTAAACAAAGCATAACCGCCCAACCCACCCCAAGAAAAGGAGCAAACTCGAGTGAAAAAAAAAAAAAAAACTAAACAACTCACCGACTAAAAGCAGCCGAGTACGCCGCACGCACAGCATACGCCCTCGACGCCGCCGCCGCCCCACTACCACCACCATACCCAAACCCATTCCCACCGCCACTCCCACTCCCACCACTTTCCCCATCCCCATTCCCCTTCCCCTCGTCACTCAACATAGCCGCCATCAACAGCGCCGTCGACTCAACCATGTGCGGGCATCCACCACGGTGCATCCACATGGACACGCGGGCAACAGCCTGCTGTTTCGCTGCCGCGGCGGCGGTTCCTGACGGGTGGGATACGGATTGAGGTTGTGACTGTGGCTGTGATGATGGCTGAGGTCGAGACCAGGGTCGAGAACGGAAGCGGGTTTGCAGCTTCGCTTGAGATGGGGGTTGCTGTGTCTGGAGGCCGTGGGCATGTTCCGGGTGGTGATGTTCCGGGTAGAACTGCGCCCGCACGGCGAGCAATTCGTGGCGGTTGCGCCAGGGAGTGAAGATGTATTGTACCATTAGGAAGAAATTTTAGTTGGGGAGTATATTTGGCCTGGCTGGTTTGGAGTAATAAGAAGTGGGTGTGATGATCAAATTGAGTATTCGTGACTGCGAAGTCAAGTGTTCACGTAATAATTGTAATTACAGTGTAACAGGAATTGCTGGTTCCAGCATGAAATGTGTTAACAAACAGAACATTGTCTGTTTCGGGAAAAGTTTGCAGATCAATCCTCCTCTGGCCAGCACTTTTTCTTACGTTACGGTAAAGATACAACGAGTAAAAGTGAAGAGAAACAGCGGAAGTGGTACAGAGAATACATGCCTATCTGCCGCTGGCACAAGGCAGGCTTGAATACGAGAATCATTTTATCTATCCTCACTCATTTCTTTTAACCATTTATCCTAGCGCTTAACTCGCTTACGAGATGGTCTTCTCGACCATGGTGATCCCGTACTTCTCCTTGAGCTCCTTCATCAGCGGGTCGTTGATCCGCGAGCTCATGGGCGCCAGGATACCCTTGTCCTGCAGCTGGCCGCTGAGGACCTGCTTGACGGCGACGGCGCAGGGCACGCCGACCAGCTTGGCCATGGCCGAGTAACCCTTGGGGTCGCCGTACTCACACAGGGTCGAGGTGCGCGTCTCGCGCGAGCCGTCCTTGTGCTCGATCTCGAACTTGTGCTGCAGCATGACCAGGTCGCGCTCCGACTCCTCGTACTGCATCTTGCGCTCGAGCGTCGCGCACAGCGTGTCGAGCGGGTTGCCCTTGGGCGTGACGGCCTCGTCCGAGAACAGGCCGATCCAGCGGAGCCCCGACAGGATGCGCTGCTTGTCCTCCTCCGACTCAAAGGTCGCCTTGGAGAGGATGGTCGCCTCGAGGTCAGCGGCCGAGGACGACGGCGCGCCGATGACGGCCTGCGTGGCCTCCTTCCAGGCCACCGGGCGCGACAGAATGTCGAGCGGGGCGTCCTCGAGGAAGCCGATGTCTACGAGCACTTTGATGAACTGCGGAAAACCCTGGTAACGCAGGGTGCCCCGGACGATGGTCTGCGCCTCGGGGATGGCGTAGCGCTCCTTGTAGGGGGTGGAGTCGCGGTTCGGGTAGGCGACGAAAGCGAAGCCCGGGTAGATGAAGTAGGGCTTGGCCGTGTTCATGAGGTCCTTGCCGGCCACCTCAACGACGGAACCGCCGTGCCACCACTTGCCCGCGTTGCGCAGGGCCAGCAGCACGCCGCGCGACGACCACGAAAACTTGTAGCCGAGCGGGTTGTCCGAATCTTCCGGGGCGGGCTTTCGTGCAAGATTAGTCTTTGTTTTGTTCTGACCCCTCTAGATGGAAGATAGAAACCTACCAAGCCGCCGCAGTACGACAGGAAGCTGAGGATCTTGCCGCCCTCCTTGTGCACCTCGTCGATGGTCTTGATGGCGTACAGGTGGTCGATGCCTGGATCCAGGCCGATCTCGTTCATGACGGTGATGCCGGCGGCCTTAGCCTCGGCATCGAGCTCGAGCATGGCCGGCGAGACGTAGCTCGTGGTAACGACATTCTTCTTGTTCCGGATAGCCGACTTGATGACGGTGGCATGGAAGGTGTAGGGGATCAGGCTAATGACCAGGTCGTGCTTGGCCACCTCGGCGTCCAGCGCCTTGTCGTCGGTCACGTCGAGCGAGATGGGGTGCGCATTCTTGACGCCCTCGGACAGCTGCTGGGCTGAGGCCAGAGTGCGGCAGGCTGTGTGTTACACAGTTAATGGGGCGGTTACCCTCAGAGGGATAGAGAGGCTGGATAGAGGGTGTGCCTACCAACCGTCACGGGGATGCCAGCATCGCTGAGGATATCAAGGGTAGGCCGCGTCACGAAGCCCGCGCCGAGCATCAGCACCTTGCTAGAGGCGGGAAGTCCATGTCAGCCGCCGTCTGAAAGGTGGTGTCCCTGTGTGCCAATGTTTGGGTGTGGTGGATGGTGACATGGCAAGTGCGTGGTGGGAGCAAGGTGGGGGCAGTTTACTGTTGCGAAGCCATCTTGGTTGTGTGCAGGCTGTACGACTCGGTAATCTCTGGGCTCTGCCGGGAAATTCCTGCTCTCGCCTGGCAAAATATGGTCAACAAAGTGACGATTGATTTTTGTGTTTGTGGTTCTTGCCGCTACTTGCTTGACTCACTCCTGCCAGGACTGCCCACTTGCTCCATCGCTCTTTCCCTCCCGTGTTCCGATAACGGCCCAAGATTTTACTGTTTGGCAAACAATTTCGATGAGGGGTATGGCGGGTATGGCGGGGTACGAAGAGAAAAAAGTATGGGGGAGGGGGGGGGATGGTCCGGCACGGTTCGGCGGGTTCCCGTTCGACTTAGGCTGAGGTTTGCGAGGTACAAAGCTGCAAGTACTCAACCAGCACACTCAACTCATGGAACCTGCGTTTACGCAATCTTACCGCAGCAATAGCAGAAATAACAGCAATAACAGTAATAATAGCGGCAGGTGCCCCGGTTTCTTCGGTGGCCTCTTCGGTTTGAAGAGGCCACCATCCATCCATCAGAGATGCATGCATGCATGTGGCCAAGTCACTGTCACGGGCAATATTGGCACCAGATGAGAGACAACCAAGCAATCTCTATCGGGTTGAGTTGGCAGGAGCCGCTAATTAAATGTTAGGCATATTTATGCCAAGTCATATTTCTTTATGTAGTTAATGGGCCTTCGGGCGCTTCCCCGGGTTGTGAAACCCACATGCGTTGGCTCTGCTTCTCTACATGTACACAGTAGTGTCATCTCCGAGAAACGCCAACCTTTTTCTCGCCATCCCGTTTTATCCGTTTGATGAGTTGCCTGTCTCGTACCCGTACCCGTACTTAATGCCCATGCCCGTGTCCCTGTCCCCATCCATTCCATGTCCATGCTGTACACCCGTAAAAACACCTCGCTTGTATGCATTAAACACAATAATAAAAATCTGGAATGTACGGGAGAAAGTGGGACAAGTCCAGTCACGTAGCCAGCGTGCTGTTCAATCATCCTGTCCCTCCCCGTCGTTGTCTTCGTCGTCCTCTTCCTCCTCTTCATTCTCATCATCGCTGGCGGGCGGCTCCCAGGCATCCTCGAGCTTGAGGCCCAGCCCCTTGCCCGTGTCTGCCTCTTCCCTGTAGTCCCTTGCCCCCCCAAGTAGGGAGTGGACCACGGATTGGTGCAGAGAAGATTCCTTGCCTTGAACAGGCGCATCGTAAAGCCCCATGCCGTACAGAATTTCGCCTTCAGGCTCGTCGTCGTTCTCGTCGTCATGGATGAGCGGCTGATACGCCTGCTGAGCAGCTTCCGATTTAGTCTGCTGCTTTTGTTGTGAAGTAGCCTCCGTCACTTGGTTAGGATCAAGGCTGTAAGCGAGATCCTCGGGTGTAGGGGGTGCTGTTTGTCGACTAAACAGGGCCGTGGTGTCCTGGTGATGATCCCACACGATCGTGTCGTCTGTTGTGTGGGCGAGGGGTAGGTAGGGGATGTCGGAAGATGCTACAACCGCGGCATAGTCGGAGGAGCAGGTAGTCGATGCCAATGCATCAACCTGTTGTTGATGCACCGACGGGAGAGGCTGGCTCACAGGCGAGTAGATTTGTTGTTGTGATGTGCTGAAGCTCGAGTAGGGCAGTGAGAGCGGCGAGAAGGACTCCATCGGCGACGTGTAGCCCGAACCGGGGCCCGGCGTGGGAGGGAACTGTTCCAGGCTTGCCAGGAAGTCGCCGTAAGTCCCGCAAGGGTAAACGTTCGCGTCTTGCTGGGCATAGAAGGGCTGTTGCACATTTTGTGAAGACGGATGCCAGCTCACAGGGCGTGCCGGTCTCGGGGTTTCCTGCTCGTAGAAGTACTGATCTGGGAGTACTGAGTCGGGAGTAGGGAGGTGTGTCTGGTGAACCGCTGGAGATAAGGTCGGAAGCCCGCCTCGCAAAGCATCACCAATTAGCGTCCTCCTCCGGGCCTGCAGTGTTGATGATCTCGGGCTGTTGCTAGCGCTGCTGGGTTTAGATACCCTCATGGCATTCCCGCCTCTTTGCTGCCCGTTTGCGGCCCTCGAGTACCTCCTGGTATGCCCCATGAGTTGCCTCGAGAGTTCGTTAAGCATCGTATCGACGGTGTATGTGTCGCTGCTGGAGACTTGGTGCTGAGGCACGCCGACCATGTTGGTGCCGACGAGTGATGGCATCATCTTGATGTAGGTAAAATGGGTGCTGCTGTCCGAGCATGGACTGAGAAATCTGAAAGGTGCAGTAAACTGGGGGGCAAAGACTTTTTTGCCGGACACTGGGTGGTAGTATATCAAGCCGGGTGCGAGTTGATATTGAGGAATGGGTGGTTGTAATATGTGGAGGTCGAGGCCTCGAGAAAAGAAGACGGGCTTCTTGTCGGGGATAAAGAAAAAAAAAGGTCAGTCAAACCTTGTCTGTAAACGTAGTCTGCCTGGTCATGTTGGACGCGGAGAGGGAGACAATAAGACATGCTCATCTGGGTGATGGGGAAGCCTCCTGTTGCCGCTTTGGCATGCTGGGAACGGAGCGTGTCAACGGGAGCTGTTCCATGACTCTGGGGCTCTGGAGACCTGCGTCATATGCATGTGCAGGGATTGTTTAGCCTGCCCGACCCTTGGGACGGGGATCTGGTGAAGTGGTTTCGGGCCTCTGGTCTGCACCACAGTGTGCTCAGGCCATGTACTTCGTAGTGTAGTGTACTTCGTACATTTCGATCTGTGGTCCTGCAAGGCCCAAGGCGACAGGGATGGGTGGGGCCCCATCATCCATCATCGCTGAAAAGGGGCGTGCTGGCGCAGGGTTGCAGGGGCGAAAAGTCAAACCGATCTCCTCGCGGTGGGCTGCCCGTGGCTGGTTGTGGATAGCGCGATGTTGCTGTGGAGGATTGGGGTGTCGGGGGAACCGTGGGCGGTCAAGCGGAGGCAGGTGGATGAAGCGGCTTGGTTTTGCAAGGTTGGTTTGAAAGTCATGCCGCTGCCTGTGTAGGTAGTGCCTGTGTGGTCACGGTCGCGAGCAGACGAACCCCCCCCTTTGACCTGCAGGTCCTTCCGAGCATGGGCTGGCGCCTCAAATTGAGCCCCATGGCACGCAGACCGAGACCAACCCGCCCTGCGATGCGGGCAAGCGGCTGTGTCACTGGAGCGCAGGTACTGTCCAGTACGGGGTCACCTAACCGGTGCTGAACAGAGGATGCAAGGTATGGAGGTAGGAAACAAGGGGGTGGGGAGCGACGTTTTAGCGCACGAGGGACATCACTCGCTCGCTCAAGTCGAGATTAGCGCGGAGCTCACTGGTACGCGCTGGCAGAGGGCCCGCTCCGCAGGGGGCGTGCGAGGCGTGTCGAAGTGATGGGGTGTGGCAGGGAATCGTTTTCCTTCGGTGCTGTGGAGGCAGGGAGAGCCGACCGTCCAGAACCAAGGGGGCGTGTCCGAGGCCGTGATCGTCCACCAGAGGGCAGGGTGTGTGTGGATAACCTGAAAGTCTCCTCTTCGGCCTTGCCAAGGATCAACGATGGTGGTTGCAGCATGAATCCAAAGATGCACAAGTCCAGAGTACACAAGCTGCATGAGCCTGCTCTACTGCCGACTGAGGTACCGAGTACGGGCCACAGACAGGGGGTTGAAATCTCGCTCGACGGCTTGGTGCAGCATCAACGGCCTGGCATGGCTCGGGCTCGGGTCGGCCTCAAACGGCACATTCCTTGCTGGCCTGGAATCTGCGGGATGCCAGATATCAGACATCTGTGCCACGAACTCCACTGACGATCACGACTTTTTAGTGACAAGAACTGGCAAACGCTGCGCCACCCTGGGTTGGGTTCCGATCGGCTCCACGGCGAAGTTGCCATCGTCGTGATGAGCTCCGAAATGTTTACTCCACACTTGATAGTTAATCAACGCTAACGTGGGAGTGGTGCGTAGGCCACTCCATCTCTTGTCCACAAGAACTCGTCGCGCTGTTTGCCAGGACATTTCGAAGTTGTTGGTTGTGTCACCCCAAACACTCAAATTCGGACTGAAACGCCAGAACGAAGGCCGGGCGCAAGGCAGAGCAACTGGCCAGAGTGGAAATAAAATAAAAAAATAAAAAAAAAGAAACGAAGAGACTGCTTACTTAGCAAATGGGATTTGTGCTGATCCTTACTGGGTGTATTAGTGCCGCTCTGTGTCGAAAATTTGAAAAGTGGACAACCTGGAAGAGAGGAGGAGGTACGAAGTACTTTTCGTGCCTCCTGCGGATGCTCGCCGCTGGTTTTTTTTTTTTTCTCATTCTCGCTCACAACGGAGTTGCAAGCGGGCAGGTACCCCGGGCCATGCGCAACCAAGAAACCTCGACCCACCGCCGGGATCCTTGATCAGATCGCATCTTCCCCACGTCTTGCCTTCTTGTGGTTAAATGTTGCTTATTGGTCGAACAGAGTGGGACTCCAACCGAAATGCCAGGCCCTCTTTTTCCTCAAAGCCCGCCAAGCTTCTATCCCAGCATCCGGCTGCGGGCTGGAACTATTTTAATCGGGTGCCGCAAACCCCCATCCCACTTTTTCCTTTCGTCGTCAATACCGCATGACGGCAATGCACCGTCTGGCCTCCCGCCTGTCTTTTTGGGGGTCATCATTTCCAACGGAGGTGCGACAATTGTCATCAACACCCTGGTTTCGGGAATCTTGCGGCCCTGCAGCTTCCTCTTTCCGCAAATGCGTGTCCATCCGATGCACACAGGAGGTATGTACCGATGTGCCGATGGACCAAGAGAAAGCAAAAAATGTGTTTGACGTGCATATTACAACATGATGAACCCGGCTGTGGGTGACCCTCCAGTGTTTCGCCGCTACGCAGTAGGATTCGCCGCTTTGCGACTCGTTTGTTGGTGATGGTGACCCAGCAGGCCCCGAGGATCGTCAGACAGAATTGGTGCTTGACACGAGCAGCCTAACAAGCCCGCCGCCGCCTCGCGAAAAGGTCTCATCGGCGGGCCCGCACTGCGATGGACATGCCGGTTGTTCTCCGCCATCCTGGCCCAACGGGATTTGAAAATGACGCCGCAGACCACGCCCCGGCCGAGTCATGATGGCCACTCGTCTGCGCTTTGGGCTCTTTCGCGGCGTCCGCACGAAAGAAGTCCGGGCCTCCACAAGCTCTCTCCACCTGGCACCGGAGATATCCATGCGCGGCTCCCCTGCAGCACTCTGGGTCAGGGGAACGCTAACTGCCAAGACCTTCCCAAACGGGGCGCACATTGAGGAACGCGAATCCCGTGGAAGCCGCCGAAGCGACCGGCGAAACAGCCCTGTGCATGAGCACCCCAACAATGACTTCCGGGGTCCCATGTGATGACAGGATGCAAACGGGAAGAGGTCGATGGTCTCTTCGGTGACGGTTCCGCCCAATGGCCGGTAATCACCACTTCTTGGCTTGGCTTGGCCTGGCAAGCCTGGCTGGCACGGCTGGGGACGCATCGGCAACAGGGAGCTTGGAATTCACACGAACGCCACGACTGCCTGGCTCATTCATTCCCTCCTCCAATACAACAACATGCATGGGCTGATGGGGAAGCGCGAGCGGCTGAACTCCGGCTTGTTTCGACCGCCAATCTGCCCGGAACCTCATGACGCTAGTCAACTAATGAGAGGATGGGGTGAGCCTTTTCTCTCGAGCGAACATGGTGGCAGGCTGGCAAGCTCGTTAGTTACCTGATTCAGACGCAATTTTCGAGGCCCAAGCGGCAGAGACCAGCGGTGGATGTTCGCCTCTCCCGAGGTGTCGAGGATGAACGAACGAGACGTTGTGCCACTTTCAAAATCTGCCAAGCCGCCTCCCACTTTCATCGAACGTCCACCGCAGGGAGGTGGGAGTGAGCAATTCAATCATGTCTTTCCGTCAACAGTGGGGGTTCACAGAGGGTGACCAAGACAACACCCCTGCAGGTACTTTATTACTTGTAAACGCCAAGCAACAGGCATCGTTATTTGCATGCAAGTCCGAGAGAGCCCCGGGTGAGACTCGCGTATCACATCCCTGGTCACCAAGGGCCATGGATGGAACGAGGTTGGGACTCAGCTCGACGGCCCGGGTTGCAGCAGCACGCCTGCTGGTCTTCCTCCCAGCGGCAATCGGGCCTGGGAGCAAAGGAGCAGCTCGGGCATTGGAACCACTCCACACACGAGCAGTCCACTGCTGGGCCTGGTTTCCCCCCCCTCCCCCGAGCGCCCCTGTGACGGCCAATCCATGGATCCCGTCGGGGCCCGGAACGCACGATCCATGAATGAGCAATCAGCTTGTCGCCCACACACCCAGAGCCTGCGAAACATTCCCACTCGTTGGTTTTTCCAAACGGGATGCAACAACAGAAAAACTGCTCGGCGGTATTGCCCGCCTCGACGGAGCCAGAGAGTGTCGTACGTCACCCTTGGCCCATGCCAAAACAGGCAGTCCATGGTCCACTCCCTCCACCGCTCGCGCCCCGTTCAACGTGCTCATCAACAAAGCACCCACTCATCCTCCACAAACGGGCGTGGCACAGAAAAAAGGAAGCTTGCCGAGAACGCCAGCGCAGTGCTGGGCTTGCCCATGCCTCCTCCGTTCCATCGTCAGGATGCATCAGGCTCCGAGGCTCGCCGTTCCATCGCTGCCACTTCATTTCACCGAGATGGCTGAGCTCACATTGCCGATCCGGTAATGCCTTGTGCCCCCTCCTCTGCCGCCTCCATTCTCACAATCTCCCTGGGCCGGTTGCGCGTCTCTCTTGGTGGCTCTTCGAGTGTTCAGGAGAGCCTCGGCCGCTGCCCGACATGCGACGGGTCGTATCAGACCAAGGACCGCACTTGCATTGACCGGTTTTTCCACTCACATACACGCATACACACACTCTCACCCACGCACGCATCCACGCACCCACCCGTGCTCTTCGCTTCAGGGCAACCGGATGGCGTGTTGAGGACGCAACCCTGAGCTTCCGCCTCTTCCAGGTGTGGCTATTTGCTATCTGCAGCGGCATGGGTCGCCCGTTGTTCTGAACTCCACAGGCTAAAAAACTTTCCCGTGTGGAACTGAGGGGAGGGCACAAAAGGGAACCTGACCTCTGTCCAGCGCCTGCGTGTGGGCGCCGTTCCCCAAGGGACAGCCAATTTTTATGCAGGGTGAGTGCCGCGGACCAGTGTCTAGGCTAACACACCCACTAATTTCACCGCCTTTTCCCAGCACAACACAGACAGTTTGCAGTCATCGGCGGGTTACTTTCGGCGCTTGGCCGTGTGTTTTTGCCTTCTGACCCGTCTTCGCTCAGCTCTGGGAACCCCGCGGCGGGGACCACTTCCGGACAGTTGATCACGAGAGCTGTCAGATTGCCCCTTTTCTTTTCGGCGGTCCATTCAGACCCTTTCACAGCACAGCGCACATCTTCTCCCCCTGCCATCTGCCACCTGCCCGATTCCGATACCTTGCCTCTCGGCCCCGTTGACTCGTCGGCGATGCGGAAATGGGACTTTCCACGTCATCACGAAGGCACTGACAGTCAAAGTGAGCCCAAAAACCAGACTTGCAGCACGCTAGGTTACCAGTCCTGCAAAGCCCTCCGTTTGGACCTTCTTGGTGGCCAGTCCTACACCGAAGGCAAGCTTTGTCTCACGGCTCCAAGCATCAGCATGCAGGCCATACAGCATCGCAGCGATGAACGTATCACCCGCGCCGATAGTGCTGAAACCACACCACCCAACGGTTAGCACAGCAATTTGAGCTTCGACGGCAGCTTTCGACGGACGAAATGCAAGGCGGCTGCAAGCCCCACCGCCCGCCCCCAACTGCTCGCAGTCTGTTGTGCTTGGTCTCACTTGCAGCATGTAGCAGCAGTAGCAGCAGCAGCAGCAGCAGGGAGGAGGAGCAGCAGCTCACAGCAACGCTCTGCTCGTGCGCCACCAACCACAAGCGGGGATGGATGGCCACTTACTCGACCACTGATATCTTCTCCCCAGGCGGAGCTGCAGGACGGTGCATGTATTCGCCACTTGGGAGCGCAAGAGCCCCGGCGCCCTGTTCTCCCCACGTGCACAACATGATTGAGCTTTTGTAGGTGTCCACGACGTGTCAACAAGCTGCAGCACGCCCCAAGCGGCGGCGAAGGGCACGACTCACGCCTTTGACGATGATGCCGCCTCGGCTCTGAGACAAGATTCCGGAGTTGTGTATCCTCGGCTCTGAGATGTTGTTAGCTAGCCGACTCGCGACCCGCTTCGCGCGAAGTGTCACAAGACGTCAAACACCGCAACGCGGGGACACGGGAACCGACTCACCTCAGCCCAGCTTCTCGAGTAAAAGACGGCGTCGGCCTCGGCGGCAAGCTCGACCAGGCCTTCCCGGCCAGGCTTCTCAACCTCAACGCTGATCGTGCTCCCCGGCGTAACGCGGCGGAGGTAGCGGATGCAACGGAGCGTTGTCTCTGGAAGTCGGCCCTTGTCTGGGTCAGCAGCAATGCCACGGCACGCCCTTTTGTACTCCGAGACAGATAGAGCAGAGGGGTCCATCGTGAGATGTTTTCGCGCACCTCGAAATGCCACCAACTCTCGTCTCCGTGTTCCGTAAAAGCATCGGCAATCTCCTCAAACTCGCCCACGGTCATCTCCGGCAGCTCGCTGAAGTTCACAATCGTCCGACTGCCCGTCTCACCGCTACGGATGATGTAGCTGCTCGCCGGCTCCTCGTAACCCTCGCGGTACAGGCAATGACTGAAATCGATGCTGTCGCAGCCGGTACCATCCCCATCGCCGTTGCCGAACGACGACAGAATCTTGCGCGTGGCGACCGACCCCGCGTCGGGCAGGCATGATACCAGGTGCAGCTTGAGCGGGAGCCGCTGCGGGTCCGCGGCCACGAGCTGCGCGAGCACCTCGAGCGAGTTGGGACAGTTGCCACCGCGCCGCACCTGCAGCGCTGTCGCGCGCAGCTTGGAGTCTTCGTCGGGGAGGTGGGGGACCCTGTGTCGTTTGTGCGTGAGATTGTGAGATTCATGTTTGTTCATCCAATTCTGTGCATTTGTAGTGTGCCGTGCTGCTCAACCTCCCCCAGACGTGGGCAAAGATGCTCTCCGGATTATTTGCAGGTTTAGGCCACTCACGTCAGGATCGTGTCCAAGTAACATGCGCCTACGAGGATGAGATGCTTCATTTTGTCGCTTGCTGCTACTCTTTGAGTCATGGAGAGCGGTAGCGGTGCTTCGAGGCTGATATAGTAGGCACGAAGTCTACGTGAAGAGATTTGGTGTTTACCTAATACCACCGCTGTAGTTAGTTAATGACCTGGATCTGTTGACGAGATTTGATAAATCGCCTGAGGAGCGGCCGCTCGACTCCATCTAGGTCGTACGATCGTGAGCTTCGAACATCCCTTCCAGTTCACTGGAAGGGATCTCAATTCTTCTGTTATCTTTCATTTTTTATCTGCTTCTTGATTTCCTCTTATCTACGAGATATCATACAGTCTTGTCATTATTTTCAACCTGCCTACCATTTCCGTTTCTCCCATTTTTCACGCCTCTCCGTCTTTCATCCGCAAGGAGTGGCATGATCCAGAACAAAGAGGCGAACCTTCCTCCTCACGCCTCCATCTCCGCTTTTGGATGGGCTACAAACAAGCAGGAACCTCCCGGGCAATTGCAGTAGAAAGAAGGCGGGGTAGATTTGGAGAGCTCACGGTATCGATTGGTAGCCACCCCGCTATGACGCAGTGTACCGAAACCCCCAGGGTACCTCTTTTCTCTGACGTCGTCGCCTCATGCTTCCCGCTCCAACACACATCACGCCATGGTTATTACCTGGGGGAATACATACAGGACCAACCTGGCATTACCACAACAACACCACAGTAATGAGTCAGCCTACCTTCCGATGTGCGATCAGCAAAGGCCAACGACTAGTTATGAAAGGATTGGGTGAATTAGATGACAGCCTCTGAATTGCCGTAACCACAGGGCCACCACACTTTACTTTTATTGTACTGTATCATCAATTCAATACTCCAATACTTCAATACTCTTGCACTGCATATCGCATTCCATTTATCGAATTCTATCGATTCAATTGCCTGGGAATACCGATAATGGACAACACAAGCCCTTCGAAACGAGTCTCGTTTGAGGAACCCGCCCCGTCGTCCGGAAGTGACGAGGACCGCTATCCAGTCGAGGTAAGAAGAAAACCTACCTCTACCACGGCATGGTGTCTAATTCCTAAATAGGTTGTCTTTGACGAAGCAAACCCCTACCGCCGCAAGAGCTCCCTGGTTGCGAGCGATGCAGTCCCCCCTCACCTTCGCCGGGTACCACCACCACTACACCACAAGACGGAATGTCTCGTCCACCAGTTCCTAGCCAACCAGCAGAAGGCTAAGGCCCATCTTCCAACACGCCACCCACACGACCATCACGGCCACCATGACCACCACGATCACGATCATCACGATCATCACGATGTCAGCGACGAAGCCGGATCAAGTCGTGCTGTCGAGCCCAAGAACGGCCATGCCAACGACCAGACTGCCGAAAGGGATTTTGGCAGCCACCTCACACCAGGGAAGAAACAACAGCCACAACAGGAGCAACAACAAGAGAAGGCAGAAGACGGCGAAGACGGCGTGTGCAACGAACTGCCCAACCGCCCCTGCGCCACCATCCTCCACGACTCACGCACCACCAGTGAGGCCGAAGGCCCCCACCCACACACCCGCCCCGACGAGGGCGACGAAAGCGCCGACAGCGCCGGAAGCAACACACCATCCAACGGCAGCGGCAGCGGCGGGGTAGGGCAAGCCGACGAAAAGCAATGGCGGCGGTCGATGGTGGGTCCCGCGGGCCCGGTACCGATGCCGCCCACGCCGGCGCAGCTAGACCGGCAGTCCGCCTCGGTCGACGCGCCCAACTCGCGCCTGCTCACCAAGAAGCAGCTGAGCGAGATGGCGTGGGGCGTGCGCGAGCTCAGCCGGCGGCTGGGGTCCATGCGCCTCAAGTTCCGCGTGCGCACCATTTTTGTGCTGACCAAGATCTATGACCCCGAGCTGATTGGGAAGACGAGGGAGTTGTGTCGGTGGTTGTTGGATTGGGAGAGGGATGTAAGGTATACGGTGTATGTGGATCGGGAGTTGAAGGATAATAAGAGGTTTGATGCGGCTGGGTTGGTGGAGGAGGTGAGACAGGATTATGTCGCGTCGGAGGAGGTCAGTGAGGAGGCGAGTTGGGATGTGGCGAAGCGGTTGCGGTTTTGGACTGAGGAGATGTGCAGGGCCCGGCCGCATACTTTTGATTTTGTGATTACCCTGGGCGGGGACGGGACGGTGCTGTACGCCAGCTGGCTGTTTCAGCGCATTGTTCCGCCCGTGTTGAGCTTTGCGCTCGGGAGTCTGGGGTTTTTGACAAAGTTTGACTTTGAGGACTACCGAAAGACGCTGACGAACGGGTTCAGCGAGGGGATCACGGTGAGTTTGAGGCTGCGCTTTGAGGCGACGGTCATGCGTAGCCGGAAGACGGGGTCAAGATCAAAAGAAGACGGGGAGCACGCGGAGCATGTGCTGGATGGGGATCATGATGGGCCGCCGCGGGATCTGGTGGAGGAGTTGATTGGGGAGGAGAAGGACGATGAGCACACCCATCGGCCGGATGGGACGTACGAGGTGCTGAACGAAGTGGTGGTCGACCGCGGGCCGAATCCAAGTGAGTCCCCTTTGCCCTCCTTCCTGTCCACCCGCATATTACTAACCCAGCCCAGCAATGTCCAACGTCGACATCTTCGGCGACGACGAGCACTTCACCTCCGTCTCGGCCGACGGCATCTGCGTCAGCACCCCCACCGGCTCCACGGCCTACAACCTCGCCGCAGGCGGCTCCCTCTGCCACCCGGAAAACCCCGTCATGCTCGTCACCGCCATCTGCGCGCACACGCTCTCCTTCCGGCCCGTGATCCTGCCCGACACCATCGTGCTGCGCATCGGCGTGCCCTACGACGCGCGGGCCAGCTCGTGGGCGAGCTTCGACGGCCGCGAGCGCCTGGAGCTGACCCCGGGCGACTACGTGACGGTCAGCGCCAGCCGCTACCCCTTTGCCTGCGTGCAGCCGCACGGCCGCCGCAGCGAGGACTGGATCAACAGCATCAGCGCCAAGTTGGATTGGAATACCCGCCAGAGGCAGAAGGCCTACAAGGAGTGGGAGAAGTAGGACTTTTCTTCCTATAAGGGGGCTGTTGGGTCACCTTCGGCGTCACAGGATAGTAGCTCGGCGGGGGTTGGGCCGTCGCGGACGCCTTCGTCGGGGTCGGATCCAGAGGCGCGGCATGAGGACTTGGCGGCGGTGAGGGAGATGCTGCGGGTCATGGGCTTGGATTTGGATCATGCGTCACGGGCGGAACCGTCGGGTTGGCGTTGTGATTGTTGAGGTTATACATACTCCTGGGTCGGTCAGTCACCGGGAGCCGTGGTAGGAGTCGTGGCCTGGCGGTCCTAAACATTGTAGTTATTATATCATAGTGTACGCTTGGAACACCGCAGCGTAGCCACTTCACGATTTCATCAATATTGCTCCTATTTGTGTTTGTAAGGGAGAGAGACGTCCTCGACGCGCACTTCTTCCGGTATTGGTCTCACTTTCTTCTCCCATGGTCATTGCGTTTCTATTTCCGCAACCTGAACAATTCCGGCACCAAAGAGAAGAGGATGCCCTTCTATTCCACAGTTAGTATCTCTCTGACTGAACTCTTTCGCATTCCCACACGCCTATGCCCTTCCAAATTTGTGATTTTTCTGTATTTTTCTCTTCTCCCGCTCGACACCCTAAACTCCATAACCCCAACCACAAAATCAACCAACCCAAAGCCAACGCAGGACGACGCAACCAAAGTAAGTCACATCTAAAAACAGCAGATCCCAGCCAAAGCAAACCAACCACGCCTCTCCAGCCCTCACTAACTAACCATTCTCCACTCATTCAGCATCCTCATCATCATCCTCATCCACATCCTCCCCTTCATCATCAAAAGACTCAACCACCGTCATGGTAACGCCCGCGTCACCGTCGACATTCAAGTTGACCTCGTCAAAGGCACTGACGTCGCGCTTGGAGAGGACGACGGGCGGGGCAGCCTGGGCGGCGGCGGCGACAACGGCGGCGGCTGCTTCGTCGGAGCGGGAGTTGAGGGCTGGTTTGGGAGGGGTGGGTTGTTAGTTACTTTATGCGTACCTCTGGTCCGTCCAATCGTGATGGAGCGGGGGTGGGTGGGAAAAAGGAAAGAAAAGGAACGGATGGGTGAGGAGGGACTCACAGGCGGGGATGCCGCGGCGGATATACATGGTAGTTACTTTCGCCCGGCGCCTTGGAGCGGTGACCTCGTCCGTGTCGCGTTTTCTGGCGGCACCGGCTGCTGTGTTTGAGGTTAGCGTTGGTCAAGCTATGTATGTTGTGGTAGGACTTGGTGAGTAGAGGGTGATGGCGGTATTCATGGTGGTGGGTAACTGGGTAGCTGGCGACATACCAGGGTGCTCGACGATGATGCCGACACCAGAGCCCTCAGCACCGGTGCCCAGCTCGACCTTGGGTCCCTTGACTAAAGCAGCTTCGGCGTAGGTAAGAGCCCGGTCGAACCCGGCAAGGTCTCTCTTGCCGACTTTCTCGGCCTCCGTACCAACACGGGGCGCGATAGCCTTGCCCAGCCCTTGCAGACCAGCTATTTGCTGGGCCTATGAAACCGGATTAGTAGCCGGCGCTCGCACCGGGAAGTCTAGGCCTGACTGACCTGCTCGGTGAGGACCGGGTCCGTTGACGCCTGCTCGACGGTGTTCGGCACCGGTGCCGGGACGGTGGAGGCGGAAGCGGCAGCAACCGCTGCATTGTTGGCAACACCAGCTGCCTCACTAGCTCCGCCCGCTGCATTGGCTGCGCCTGCGGCTGCGTTAACCGCAGCGCCTTCGAGCGCAGTGATCAAGTTCGACACGTCCTGCCTACCTCCAAAGCTGATTTCACCATCACCTGTTGACTTGTCAGATCCAGTCTTTGGAGAACACCGTGGAGTGGGAGAACATACCGACAACCAGGGCTGGTGAGTAAGCCCCGAGGTTGATATTCAGCGGCAACGCCGCGGCCAAACCGGCAAAGGCAACAATAGCGTACCTGACCATCTTGAAGAAAGACAGACGAGGCTATCGAGACGGATTAAAAATACAAAAAAAGCGACCAGCGACTCGACCAGCGGTTGAAGTGAAGATAATAAACAATACGGAAAGGGAATCGCAAGATAGGCGATGATCAAGGAGCACAGCTCATGAGTGAGAAGGAAGGAAACGAAAAAAGACAACTACCACAGACATGTCTAGGTATATAGACTATCAGACGGAGTTGTACCCCTAGGCAAGGAGAAGTTGAAGTTTCCTTCTTTGGGGGACCCAACGCTGGCTGCTTCACGGAAACTCGGGAGAGGCTTGGCAGGAGCAGAGAAAGGGAGATATCAAGCTGTTGAAACGGACGTGACACTTTCCGGGACAGTCTCTACGAGAAACGACGGCAGCAGTAGCTGAGTGTATCCGTTCTGGGGATCTCAGATGCCGGCGGCGTGGTCTTGGCATGTTGGAGTGTGCACGGGGTTGGTGTAAGTGAACATGGCTGAGTGAGGCAAGTTCAGGCGAGTGCATCGGGAAATGTCACCCCTAGACAAGGGTTACCCCGCGTAGACATGCCCTGGTCTTGTTGAATGCCGATTTAGGGTGGGCGGTCATGGCTCAATCGCACATGAGACTCTGCCAAGCTCTTCGATGTTCCAGATAGCCAAGCCATGCCGAGAACAGCCTTGTGCTTCCCGCTTCTGGGCAGCGCTCGGGCGTGAGCTTGATCTCGAGATCTCCTGGTTTAAGCTTCCTTGGCCAACGAGAATCGCAATTGGGCTGACCATGGTCGCGGGGTTGCAGGGGCATGAAGCATGGTCGTGTTGCCTCCCACTGGAGGGGACTGCGGAGTGTATCCCCACGGGCTTCGTCTCAGAACCAGCGGCAGATCTTGAAGTCCAGTGCAAGTTCGTGTCTCGAGCATGGCGAGACGAAGCTGATAACGCATTGCCGCGATCGGAACTGTCGCCAGCAGCGTTACGTTAGATAAGGAAGCGAAAAGCGAAGGGCGCTGCAAGAACTGTCGGGTTGATGACTGATGGTTCACCCTTGACGAGAAAAGTTGATCTTATTGTGGTGTTAATGTTGAGTCATCGCCGTTGGCCATATTTCTTCCCCCATAGAGGGCCATGCGGTGTGGTCGACGGAAGGGCCTTGTGATTCCCATCAGCATCGTCGCCCCGAGATGTCTTTACTACTTTGAAGCGTGCCCCTGGGCTCAGAGGTCTGTACGAGCAGGTGTAACAAGGGCCATATTCTCGCCCAAATCGGAGGGATTCATGCATCAAGCACAAACTTGGATAATTCTGAAAGAGTGAGACATCGCTGGAGTGGGACTAGACTCGGCATACTGATGTTTTAGCCCCTCCCGATTTAGCACATGGCCAGTGAGGGGTCTGCAAGCGCGACGTCTCACCATCCGAATGGTTGTCCATTGACAAGAATATCGCCGACCGGCATTCTAGGGTTCCGGCTTTGGGCAATAAAGCTTGTTTGGATCCCTTGCTTGTGAGTCTGGCCACATCCTCCCATGTCTGGTTCTTGGTGGGGTACGACTGGTTGCTGTCCACGATGGCCCGAGGCGTGTAGTACTGCTCGGGCTGTCTTATCATGTTGCAAGTCGGGTAGCATTACTATTATGAGGATCATGGAGAGGTGGGCAGCCCTAACCGGATCTTAGGTCGCGTGTCGCCGTGCCTTCGCGAGCACTTGCCATCTCTTGCCGGATAAACGAGTACCGGAATGTTATTTTTGGGACATCGACGCCTTGATCGACCCCTTAAGAGCGAGGCATGGTGATAGCATTATCGAATTTGGCTCCAAGACGACGATTCGCTCAAATGTTCGCTGCCACCTCGAGATTGTAAACCGGATCGCCACCGCTGATCTATCGCTGCGCTTCAGCTTCTAACTTCCCTAGGCGAGGCTACCTATGTTCCCCTGGCCACCGGATCATTAGACGACAATTGGGTTGTTCTGCGACGAGGACATTCGATATGTTGGTTTGGAGCTAGAGAAAAGAAGGATAAAAAAAAAGAGAGAAAAGAGAGAGAGAGAGAGAGAGAGAGATAGCTGGTAATCCAGAGCCAGCTATGAATTGGCATATTCCAAGAAGGTTGGGCAGTTTCGACAGAGAACTCGCTCCTGCTAAGGGAAGGCGGGGTATCCTCGTGGACAAGCAAGCAGCAGTTCAATTGATTGAGAGAGTCCAGCCGCATGTCATCAAAGCAGTAATTATAGCCCAAAATAGTACCTCTGGGCAAATAACGAGGTTTGATTACTTGCCTAGGTCTCTTAAGAGAGACCCGGATCGAATCGCGTTTATTTGGAGGGTCAATTCCAGGCCATCTTTGCGCGAGAGCACGTGAAGAGGGAAGCTTGATGCCCGCTTTAGTGCCGCACGAGACGGAAGGTGATCCGTGCTGACACTTGCCAGTTGCCGAATTTTTGGCACAGCCAAATTTTCCGTTTAGATGCTCCGAGTCCCTTCAACAGCTCGACGACTGTTGATTCCACATATCTGCTCCCTCCACTCTTTCGGTGTTTTTGCGAGCGATTCTCAAAATGCCTGCCCTACGGACCTTCGCCCCGCTCCTGCGGTCGGCTCGCCTTTCTCTCCGTCAGAACCAGAACCCGCTAGTCTCGCTGCAACGGGAGACGAGGACACCAGCCCTCAACTTCGCTCGCAACTACGCCGTCTACGAGCGCAACAAGCCCCACGTCAACATCGGTATGCCATTGCCGGACCCCATTGGAATTCGCCTACTAACAGTGGTGGTTTTCTAGGCACAATTGGTCACGTCGATCACGGAAAGGTCCGCTACAGCAGATACCCCGCCACAACCTGCACTTCAAGCTAACGAGGCTTTTGCAGACAACTCTCTCCGCCGCCATCACCAAGAGGCAAGCCGAGAAGGGCCTGGCCAGCTACCTCGACTATGGCGCCATCGACAAGGCCCCAGAGGAGCGGAAGCGTGGTATCACCATCTCGACCTCTCACATCGAGTACTCGACCGAGAACAGGCACTACTCCCACGTCGACTGCCCTGGTCACGCCGATTACATCAAGAACATGATTACCGGTGCCGCTTCTATGGATGGTGCCATCATTGTCGTTGCCGCCTCCGACGGCCAGATGCCCCAGACTCGTGAGCATTTGCTCCTCGCCCGCCAGGTCGGTGTCCAGAGGATCGTCGTATTCGTCAACAAGGTCGACGCCCTCGAGGACGCTGAGATGTTGGAGCTCGTCGAGATGGAGATGCGCGAGCTGCTTACCTCGTACGGCTTCGACGGCGACAACACTCCTGTCGTCCTCGGTTCCGCCCTCTGCGCTCTTGACGGCAAGCGCCCCGAAATCGGCGAGTCCAAGATCGACGAACTCATGAAGGCCGTCGACGAGTGGATCCCGACCCCCGAGCGTGACACCGACAAGCCCTTCCTCCTCTCCATCGAGGATGTCTTCACCATTGGCGGCCGTGGTACCGTCGTTTCGGGCCGTGCGGAGCGGGGCACTCTCAAGAAGGACTCGGACGTCGAGATTATCGGCAAGGGCACCGAGATCATCAAGACCAAGGTCACCGACATCGAGACCTTTAAGAAGTCGTGCGACGAGTCGCGCGCCGGCGACAACTCGGGTCTCCTGCTCCGTGGTGTCCGCCGCGAGGACATCCGCCGCGGCATGGTCGTTGCTAAGCCCGGCAGCGTCACCGCCCACAAGAAGTTCCTCCTCTCGCTTTACGCGCTCACCAAGGAGGAAGGCGGCCGCCACACCGGTTTCCACCAGAACTACCGCCCGCAGATGTTCATCCGCTCGGCCGACGAGGCCTGCACACTCCACTTCCCCCCGGGCACCGAGGACGCCGACTCCAAAATGGTCATGCCCGGCGACAACGTCGAGATGGTGGCCGAGATCAACCACCCCATCGCCATCGAGGCCGGTATGCGTGTCACCATCCGCGAGGGTGGCCGCACCGTCGCCACCGCCCTGGTGACCCGCATCGTCGAGTAAAGCGAGACATGAGCCAGCTTACGGCTACGGCTGTATGTACGATTGCGATGACCGCGAGGGTTGGGCTGTGGCAGGATAGACATGGGGGGCAAGAGGATAACCCTGCTGGGGCTGGGCCCCTTGGTCCCGAAGGGCGGTGGGCGGGCAGGCGCCGTGGAGTCGGAGAAACCACTCCTGTACAAACTTGTGATGATGTATTTATGAGGCGCCACTGCTGGGAGCCGTTTGACTCACTCAAGGGCCCGCTGATCTCCCTTCCCCTTCTCGAGTTATCTTAATCCTGTACTTTAGAGATATATGAGGCAATAATGAAGGTTGATGATGTACGTTGGAATTAGCTGGTGGTCGGTTACAGTGAGGGGTGCTGGAAAGAAGATATCTCGGCTCGTAGGATACATTTACACGCAGCGCGGACGCCTTCGACCATGCAGCAAAACCCGGCCATTTGGAATACGCCGTCTCGCAAACCTACCGCCGCATTTTATTCTCGGCAAGAACCAGGAACCAAGCATCGAGGTTGATAAACACAGCAAGAAGTTGCTGTTCTGTAGGCTACCCCTGGCAATGCCGTCAAAGTTTAGTCCAGTTTCCGAGCCAAACCTGCCTCCTTCTCTCCATCACATGTCAAAACGCTCTTAACACGGCAAACGACAGGACCAAAGCCAGCGGCCGTGGAGTGGGTGGTGGATGGTGGATGGATTTGTGGATTCGTTTTTTGCATTCCCCCTTGGCCCAAAGTCATGCAAGATGAAGACTGCCCCCAAATATGAACTCCAAAGTTCGCCGTGGTTCCTGTTCGTCGGAATCGGAATCGGGTTTCCTCGCAAACCGCCCCCGCCCTTACTCCTCCTCCATCCATCCGTCCATCCATTCCTCCTCCCATCAGAATCGACAACTGACTGTCATGGTTTGTTTACCGGTACTGCGGAGAATCGGGAGTTAGAAAACGGGCGTCCCTCGATGTGTATAGTGTAGAGTGTATGGTGTTGTGGCTGTCGGCCCCGTGGGGCTTGCGTCGTGTGTAGGACGGGGGCTCGGGCATACCTTGACGAAGCCAATGTCGGCGGCCTTCTCGCGGAAGCACTGACGGCAGATGTTGAGGCCGTACTTGCGGATGAGACCGGCCTGGTGGGTGCAGACGCGGCTATTCGTTTCCGAAGAAAATAACCGTCAGCATTTCTGTTCTTTTTCGGTGCCTATCCCTCATCCTCCGACTCTGTTCCCTCTTTTTTAAACCCCTGCGGACTGCGATCCGCTCCCCTCCTCCGTTGGGTTGGGTGATGTCCTACCAAGCGCGGGAGCCCTTGCCGTAGGTGCGCGGGCGCGAGTTCCAGACGGATTCGTGAGCCATTTTGGTGATTGGTTTTTTTTGCTTGCGTGAGCAGGAAAAATCCGGTGATGGCTTGGGTTGGGCGGAGTTTGGCTGTCGTCGTGGGAATGGTCGGCCGAAATTTCAATCTGCAATGGAGCTGGTCGAAATTGGCGGAGACTTTTTTGTGCGGGAGGGCTTGCCGGTTGGTGGCTGGTGTGGGGTGTGGCGCGTGGAGCGTGGCTGATAAAACTTTGTTATTGGGCTGAGCCGCTTCCACGCCGTGTCGTTGGCGGACAGTGTGAAAAGATGTACCACACGGTGGTCTCCCAGCGGGGATGCAGGGGCTCAAGGGGCAAGAACAACGGCAGGGGTGAGCTCATGCTTGTCAGCCTGTTGCTGGGGCGCAAAGTGGCATCTTTTGGCTGCGATTTCAAAGCATTGCTTTGTCTGCTGCCACACCGTTTGTTTGCTTCAGATTTATCCATATTTCTTCTTGGTGACTTTCTGCTGTTGTTATACCATCTTGAAAATTGCATTGAGGTCGCCTGCGCCGAATCCGCCCACTTCACACCAAACACGACGAGAACACCATCACCATGGTGCTCATCAAGAGCTTCGTGCTCGCTAGCCTCGCGGCCGCCGCTGCTGCCAAGTCAGCGGTTCTCGACCTCATCCCCGACAACTTCGATAACGTTGTTCTGAAGTCCGGCAAGCCGACCCTCGTCGAGTTCTTCGCTCCCTGGTGCGGCCACTGCAAGACCCTTGCTCCCGTCTACGAGGAACTCGCCCTGGCCTTCGAGCACGGCAAGGACAAGGTTCAGATCGCCAAGGTCGACGCCGATGCCGAAAAGGCGCTCGGAAAGCGTTTTGGCGTGCAGGGCTTCCCCACGCTAAAGTTTTTCGATGGCAAGAGCGACAAGCCGACCGACTACAATGGCGGGCGGGACCTGGAGTCTCTGTCCGCCTTCATCACCGAGAAGACGGGTGTTCGGTCGAAGAAGAAGGCGGCCAAGCCCAGCAGCGTGACCATGCTCACGGATTCGAACTTCAAGGAGCAAATTGGCGGCGACAAGAACGTCCTAGTGGCGTTCACCGCCCCGTGGTGCGGACGTAGGTCTTCCTCCTAGCCCACGGTAGAGAGGACCGTGCTAACCATTTATAGACTGCAAGAGTCTCGCGCCGACTTGGGAGACGATCGCCGAGAACTTCGCCACCGAGTCCAATGTTTTGATTGCCAAGGTCGACGCCGACGCTGAGACCGGTAAGCGCACCGCGGCCGAGTATGGCGTCACCGGCTACCCGACGATCAAGTTCTTCCCCGCCGGCAGCACCACTCCCGAGGACTACAACGGTGGGCGGTCTGAGGAGGCGCTCGTCGCGTTCCTGAACGGAAAGGCTGGCACTCACCGCGCTGTCGGTGGTGGTGTTGACTCCACGGCCGGCACCGTTGAGGCGCTCGATGCCATCGTGGCCAAGCTGGTCGGCGGGACCACACTGGCGGAGGCTGCGGCGGAGGCGAAGAAGACTGCCGAGGAGCTCAAGGACCAGGTGCAGGCCAAGTGGGCCGAGTACTACCTCCGCGTTTTTGAGAAGCTGAGCAAGGCCGAGGGGTATGTGACCAAGGAGCTGGCGCGCCTGGAGGGCATCATCAAGAAGGGTGGGCTGGCTCCCACCAAGCAGGATGAGCTGGCGAGCAAGGCGAACGTTCTCCGCAAGTTTGCCGAGAAGGCGACGGGCGGCGAGAAGAAGGAGGAGAAGGAGGAGCTGTAGACCAGGCGTGCATCTTGTGGCGTAGGTAAAGCAACAATGTATGGATAATGACGGTCTCATCAATCATGGTTTCCCCGAGTTTTCAGGTTCATAGTTAAGATAGGTCTTGTTTCCTGATATGTCCCCTAAACTAACCCAACTCCCATTACCGCTTAAAACGCACGCTCATCAGACCGCCTTTCTTTGCACCCAATATCAATTAGGCCCAGAGTTTTTGTTCTTATTAGCCGACAATTGCGATTCCAAGTTGTCAAGACGGCGGGACATCTCATCCACTTCTCACTGTCAGCTTCATCCAGCCCACTCTCTCACTGGCGGGTTTAGCGAGAACCTACTTTTGGCGAAGATTTCGCTCGATACACCGGCAAACTTGTTGGACAAGGTGTTAAGCAGGTCCTCAACCTGAGCCGTCAGCTCGGCGCGGGGGTCTTCGTTCGTTTGTGGCTAGCCATTAGAGATTGGTGAGTGAGTGAATGAGTGAATGAGTGAATGAGTGAGCGAACTGGGTGGGATGGGATGAATGTCTGTCAGTTTCACGGTTTATAAACTCACGTTTGCTGTCTGCGCCGCAGATGAATCGTTGTTTGAGGCCATGATCACCAGTCTTCCAGATCTGACTTGATTTATTCTTTCTGTTTGTAGCTGAGCTCTAGGTAGTCGAGACCACACCTTACTTGCTGTAAAGGGCTCGAAGGGACGAGACACAGTGCTGTTGCGAGGCTACGGGCAAGCACAAACACAGAAGCGGGCGGTTGGGGGCGGTGTGCCAAGCATTTGACAGCAGCGTGGTACTGTGCGGCTGTAATGGAACGACACTGTGACAGGGGGCAGGGCCTGGCATGGCAGTTGCCGCAACATCTCGAGGACGCAAACACTTAGGATTGAGATGACTTAACTACCAGCAAACCATCAGATGTCAAACATACATAGACTCATAATCTCGATAAAACCCGCCCCACACAACATAGAACAACATCAGAGTTCCAAACCGATGAGGTAACCGAGTAACTAGGTTCCCGAATCCGGGTTCAACCTCGTCATCCCATGATACTTGGACCTGACTTCGACCTCCTCTTGTCTCATTGAGGATCCAACATGATCCTATCAACTTAAAGCCGAAAACACCACGCACGAATCTCAAGGGCTGACAAACCCTACCTCTGCCCATCATGCCTACGGTATCGCGGGAAAATGCGCGCGTATGGCTATTATTCGTCATCCTCTTCATAACCCTCATGTCGCGAAATGACGCCCCCGGCTTGATCACAAATCCCTTCTTCGGCGGATCCCGCTTCGGTCGCTTACGAGACGCCCACGGCGTATTAAACGGCACCAAATGGGGCGATTTCTCACCCGGCAAGGCAAAGGATGGCGCCCCGCCGTGGCAGACACCGCGCTACCTCAACCTGACGGGTTTCCGCCACGCCGATGGCTACGCCTGGGACGATCTCGCCTACTTCAAGGACCGCTGTCATCAATGGAGCCGGCATGCCTACCCGCCACCGAAGGGGGCCGGGGATTGGGAGCACGGCCCGATCAGCAAGACATGGCAGAATGCCACCGGCACGGTGCACGGCAAGTGGGTGCGTCGTCCGGGTTCAGTGGTGAAGCACGCGGGGAGCTACAATCTGAGCGCGATTGCGCCGGGAATTCACTGGCTGGATGATCCCGCTGAATGGGGCTGGAACGTCACGGGCTCGCATGGGAATATCTTTATGCGGCTGTCGGAGGATGCCAAGGATGCTGTGTATGAGGAAGAGACGGTCGAGGGGAAACAGCCGTCGTCAGGGGGCCTGGCGAGGGAGATATCGGCCGTGGCTAATATCCAGGACGAGGAACACTGGACATCCAGCTTTGCCATCAGACTCCACGGCGTGCATTGGCCGAAGCAGGGCTCCATCCTCATGACCACGACGAGCGAGAAATTCGATGGTGTCTTCGGCCTGCCCCATCTCGTCCCCAGCTCCGAGTTCTATCACACAGGCCAGAAGCTTCTGAATCGTACGCTTGGTGAGGTCCTCACTAAAAAGGAGCGAAGCAGGTTTTCCGACGCAAGCAACCCCTGGACACCCGTGGTCGAAGAACAGCTATCCATTCCACTGCCGCGCTGCGAGTACATCATGTATCTGCAGCTGCATCCGCTGGACCCCCTCTACATCGGGGAGGACGGACTTGACGGCCAGTTGGCGCCGATAATCGACCAGTGGGAGAATGAGCTCCGGTTTCCCACCGGCGCCCCCTTGAAAGGGAAGCCAGAGCTCCGCATGTCGCTCGTCGCCTGGTCTCCTGACTGCGGCTACTACCTCGAGTCCAAGGGGCCGCCGCTGTTTCCTTCGGTTGAGGGCAACCACCTCGTTGGTGTCAAAACGGAGATCCTGCTTTCCCGGACGAAGTCGTGGATGTTTGGTTTCGCCGCCGTCCTGATGGCGCAGCTGTGGCTGCTGAAGACCCAGATGAAGGAGTCTAATACGCCCTCTACGCTGGGACGTATCAGCTTCCACACCGCCGGCATGATGCTCCTTTGCGGATGGGTTGGTGTTTGCCTGCTCGTCCGCCTGGGAGTCTCTCAGCAACCAACACATTTCTACCGTCCCTCATGCTCACCTTCGCCGCTTTCATGTCCATGTCACTCGGGCGCGGGCTTCCTGTTCCGAGATCTACA